TACTTTTATACTAATGAATACTTTTTCGCGTACTGACAATTATGCAAATTTCATTTAACGTAGTTTCGTTTTTCATTCAATAGAGAATATAAATATACGCTCTCTTTTCCGCTATCTCTTTCTTTCTTCTAGTAATTATTTAAATTACATTTTAATTAAAATGATAACTCTTGACTTGGGCTTGCATTGTGTGAATGTGTAAACATTATAACCATCGTTATCTTTCATCCTCGTCACTCACGTCCGCGCAAACCAATGTTTGCATTCGGATTTGCTATGCGGGCGTATAATCACAGGGTTTATCTCGTGCGCATTTGGTTTAGGATAAGAGGATCGAGCATCTTCAATATTACCTATAAAAATGAGGAAAATATATAAAGCACGTATTATTAAAAGAATCACAGCAAATTCGTTTCTTTTTAAATGTACATTAATTTAATATCGAGGTCTACAATATACGTATTTTTAAAGTTTAAAGTAAAAAAAATAACATTTTAATGTAATTAAATCTCAAAGATTTAATTCAATGATTTATTTTATGTATGGTCTTTCCAACGAAGCTTTAATCAAACAGATCTGCTTGATATTTATACGAATATAATTATGGAGTTTATACGACATAGATTTGCATGTTTAGTTGAAATTTATAATCAACCTCATCCTTTGAACTGAAAGCAACGAGAGTTATGTTATACATTGATTCATTGAGATCAATATATTTGACTATCATTTCACATCTATATTACGCGGTATTAAATATTGTAGCAAATAATAAAATAGATATAAATGCGTGTACTTACAAATTTTATGATAATAAAACATGTAATAAAATTGCATTCTGAGAAGATATACATTTAATATAACAAGATCAATTATATATATTAGCGATTTAAATGCTAATTTCAAGACATGAACTTACATCATAAGATAAAACTTAATTTAACATAGATCAATGGTCAACGTCATACCATCAAGAAAATAAAAATATGCTAAATGGATGAGACATAAATGCCGTTAGTATACGCATCGTCCGTAGACGCACATTATAAATTTGTAATCGTCGTCGACTTTCGTCCACCACGTCGACGACGCGACGAGCCGATGTTTGCCCCGGGATAAACCACGCGGGAATAGAAGCCCGGGATTCATCTCGCGTCTGGTTCAGGACGCGAGAAGAAGGGCGCGAAAGCGTGGAATAGGAGGTGAAGACGAGCGACGAGGTGCGCGCAGAAGGGTACAGGGGAAAAAAGGCGGGAAATACCCTCGGGAGCCCTCGGCAGATTTATGCCGGCCCTGGCTGCTTCGCTGGCGCCCCGTATACATTCATCCCTCTCTGGCCCTGGCGGAAGGATGAGGACGCGGCTGACGGGGAGGTTATTCCCCCCTCCATTTCCCCACCGATCTACTTCATTCTCCCGCCCCCGCGGGCCAAAGGATCTTGCAGGATATTATACGATATGCACCGAAAGTTGATAGATGGCTATTACGTTCCGCTAAGACGAGCGTACCACGCCACCGCGAAAATTCTCTCCCTCAGGATTCTCCGCTTCCACCGTGTGATTTCTCAACGGAAAAAACTCCCCCGCCCGCGTTTCGTCGCCGACGTCGTCGTCCCTACGTCCGCAATAATTTTCGGTTCTCTTGATGGGCGACCCTTCTTCGAAAACCCGCCCGGGGGTCGACTTTCGCGTTCGGTAACGTCGGAGAGCGAACGTTATTGAAAATATTAAGGGGTTAGATTTATTTAACGGTATTCCTACTTCATATTTCAGATTTGGCTCGCGGATTGATCCGCGGGTTGTTTGATATTCGCATACTGTTCACGTTATATTAGAATAAGAAATTATTAATGTCCTTGCGTGAGTTCGTACAGATGGATAGAAAGCGATTTCTAAGCGATGGAACATGAATATTCTGTCTTTCTGATGGCGCCTGCTTTACTCTACACGTTTGTTTTATCGGACTTCACATGTAATGCTCAACGAATATGAATGAAGTGTATTGAATTGAAATGAAAATACGTATGCCTGTGCATGGTTAAAAGGGAGAAATGGTCCAGTTTCATAATGATTTTCTCTGTCTATTATTTTCTAGGTAAAGCTATAACTCCACTATATCTGCGTAAAATTGAATAAAAATGTTATGAAAAAGGAAAGAAAATGAGTTTTTTTACGAAAATACTATGCAGTAGATTGTTTTTCTTTTATCGTGAGAGAACGCTTTTTTCATTTCACTTTATTCCAATGATATTTGCTATTCAACAACCGTTTTACGCGCGGTAGGTAATTAAAATTAATAACCATCAAGTCATCTCTCTCTATAGCGAAATATTAAATATATGAAATGTAAATGTCTTTGATCGTATTCATATATGAATTCTCTATAACATTAGAGAAATCATCGATGTATATAATTCTAAATTTCTACAACCTAATTATTATATTATTATTTTATAGATATTATTGTATAATTAACACATTTAATTAACTTTTAAAATTTTACTACTCTGAATATCATAGATATATATTACAAATTATTAAAATTGAGATGTATATTATTAATGATAAAACAATGATACACAAAAATAATAATACAATTTTTTTTTTTATCAACTTTTTCAAATTTATATATAAATACAAATGCCAAGAGAAAAGCCATTCTATCGTCTTAACAAACCAAAATATTAAGCGGAATGCAACCTGGTAATAGATTTGTCGAGCAGGAAGCGGTCTCACTGTGGGATTATAACAAAACCCTTGATCCGGGTGAACCGACCAACGTTAATACAATTAACGGAACTAAGTACTGTAACACGGCCTCCCTGCCCGTTGGCCCAAATATTTGCATCGTCCACGACGATCGCCAGGATGAATCAGCCTGTCGGCAAGTTCTAGCCACAAATTCTTGAGTTAATAGAATCGCTGCGGTTATCACGACGTTCCATATCGCGGTCGTAACCATAATCGAGCAAGTCGCACAAATTAATTTTTGCATTATATTCAAATTATCAATGTAAAAAAAGATTAATCGATACCGTTGTGATTTCTATTCGCAAAAAACGGACAAATCGGTCAATGATTTTTTTCTAAACTGCTTCTCTAGAGCTGCTATTTAGCAAAACGATTGTTAGACATTGCAGTTTTGATTAGATACAAAGTAAATACGTTTTGGTATCTAGAAAAGTTCGAAAAAGCTTCACCTTACAGTCATAAAATCTCTTTGCAGTACGACGCAATAACTGCGAATTCGTCGATAATAGGAGACACCGATATCTTTGGCACTTCCAAGTGCCTTTTGTCTTTCTATCCGCTTACGGTTCCGATCGACTTCAAAGCCCGAGACCAATGTAGCTCGATTGGACCGACGCCCCTTGGTTAGGAGCTGTCAAACGGTCCGCGGGTATAAGCCGGTCGATCAGCTCTTTCGAATTTCGATGTTATACGCGACAAAGTGAGAAGCTACTATGAATTTCGAAGTGAAAGGATGTCAATAATGCGAGGGCAGCCACAAACATCAATTCAAAGCAAGAAAGACGCAATACGTAGTACAATCTATGGAAAATGTATCAGGGAAGTAAAATTGGCCTATTTCGATCGAAATTATATATAAATTATAACGCTCATTATTATATAATTTCTCAATTATAACGTAATTAATGAAAATAATGATAATCGTCAATTTTATAAATAATATGTTGAACGTGTGATACACACGATGACAGAATTAAATATCCTGCAACACGTTATTATATCAAGAAAGATATACATTATATCTTCATTACAAACTGTTATCGTGAAAATTCACGCCTGCTACGCTCCGGCGTAAATCAGGATAAGTGACATGTAATAGCTCTTCGGATAATTCCGGAACTTCTCACACCATTGAGTGCTGGATGGCACCATTGAGAGCAAGCGAATGTCGAATCACGTAGTAACATAACAATGTGAGACAATTTCACTAACTTGATCGCATGATTAAACGGAATTTAATCACGAAATTGAGATTGTGATCGACGAATTTGGGTAAATCAATTTCCGCAAAATTTCTACATTATCATTATAATTCATCGTATCAAATTTCTACAGAAGAAATTTCATAAATAATCATTTTGGGGGTTTTTCAGCAAAAAATATACAATATCACACGAATGGTTGTCAAAAAGAAAAATTTTCGGGTCTTTCAAAATTTTCTATATTTGATAACCAATTGCGTGACATTGTGTCTACCTATGTTTTCTTGCTGGAAAGCTCCCTGTGTCTTTTGCAAATTTTTGGAGAGAGATTAAAAAAAGTAACGTTTCTATTGTTACCTACTTTTCTGTAATTACAAAACTACATCGATAATCGATCGATTCCAACAAGGTACGCTTTCTTGAAACCAAATTCAAAAGCTTCGGTTTCTCTCAATCGTTTGTGCGTGCCTCATAGCGTGAGAAAATGGAAGTGTTTCGCCACTGAGGTGGCGAGATTAGTATCTGCGCGCCGATGCTATAGAAACGAAACGTTACTTATTTCATATCCGACACGAAACGCTGCAGCGTATTCAATGGTGCGGAGATGTCGTGCTTCCGGCACGTACGCGCCTCAGCATTGTTGATAAGTCACCGCGCTTGACACCGGTACAGATATCGCTAACAAAACGCGAAATCGATTTCCACTCGCGTGAGACAGAAACGAAATTCTGCGTTCCGCGCGCACACGGACGTTTTAGACATTCTAAATGTAGTCATGAAAAATTGTCGGGACGATTCGGAGAAATATTCGCGATGGAATTCGGTTTGAATCGACCAGGGTGCGGAGCAGGGCGACGATCGACGTTTCAAGATGTCTATGAAATATTTAACGGCCTTTGCGAACGTCTATGATTCAGTTTTCTTCGCGAGTATGTCTCGTCGACGTGTAGATATCTACAATTCCCGAAGAAAAATGTTGCACATATGTAGCACGATACGTGAGTTGAATAACGCGATTTTATACGGAAAGAGTATACTCTGTACTTACTTAGACGAGATAGCTTGTAGGCATCCGCTGTATTAATTACATCCACGAAGGCTTGCAGCTCAAATTTGCGAGTTGTAATGTTTTGATTGTGATTCACCATCGCGAACTTGAAGGCGGATTGTACTTCGTCGGTACCTTGCTCGAAAATGGCACCTGAAAACAGAAGATAGCAAATTTAATTAAGTACTTTCATTTTTGTAACAATGTAAATTTTATACATGTATATATACCATGTATATGTATATGTTGCAAGCTTTTTGTAAAATCTGTCTTTTCATAAAAGGCTCATCCTTTTTATGAAGAGTCGGATCTTTGAAGAGACGACCAGCACACATATTTTATAAAAAGCCAAGGCTTTTGCGAAGAGACTGAATTTATACGAAGAGTCCGCAATATACATAAAAATAAATAAAATTTAATCATTTAATTATTCAAGCTCGTCATATTTATAAAAATAATATCTTAAGTATATTTAATAAGACAAGTTGAAAAAAGGCATATACATATTTTATGCAAAACATATAATGTACGCGGAAAATGTATGCGGTATTAATTCTCTTTCTCTCTTTTCCTCTCCAGATTAGCTACATAAATTTTGGAAACGTAGAATTCGCGAACTTAGTAAATGTCGCGAGGAAACGCGATTACTCTACCCCCGTCGTGAAATCGGATGTGATAATCCGACGCGACACCCTGTATCGGATGTCTGATGTGCGGCGCTCCGTTTACTACTGGCTCACCGGCGTAGTAGTACAAACCGACGTCTGTTCAGGCAGCGTCTGCATACGAGGCCCGTGTAATTACACCGATCCATTCGGCGTTAATAGTCGGTAATACGTACCAATATTAATGCTATCGCTCGTCATGTAATTTACCGTAAACCGACTACATATCCGATAACTCGCTGATTCTATTTCTCCAAGTTGATAAGGCATCGCGCGATTGTTATAGTGCACGTAACGTTTGTATAGATATGCCAGTTGTGGACGAGAGGTTAAAAATATTTCGTAGAAATATTCGCAATCCCGATGAAAATACTGACGTCTCGTCATACTGTAAAAATAATATGGCTGCATGCATTTATCAAGCTATTTATTTCACGTCAAATGTATCGCATATTCCAGATGCTGCTGTCGATGAAGTGATCGATGATATACGCTAACACAGTATGCGTCGTATAATCGAGTAACTGTCAGCGCTGAATACTGCACTTTGTGTCTTCGTTATTCCGAGCATCCAACGTTACCATTAATATCTGGCCGGGAAGCACGGAGGGAGGGGAGGAGGATGAGGAGGAGAGGTGTCGGGGACGGATTTTCGTATATAAAATGTACACTTCTCCAAGTTAGTTGCTAATGCAGCGAGGTAGCGAACGATAAGAACGGGCAATCGTGCGAATTGACAAACTTGTATCGAAATAATTTTCGTTACGACTTTCCAAGTTGTAACGCGCCGAACGTCGCCGTGCCCGGGAGCTGTTTTTCCTCGCCCGTGCAATGAGAGAACTTTTCACGCGGCGAATAAGATACGCTCTCCGAAGTGTTACACGCGATATTATAGCATCTCTTTTCCCCAGTTTCATTTCTTCCGCCTGCCTCGCCTGACTACCTGCCTGCCTGCCTTCCTGCCCGTCACACGTGGATTTTTCTTTGCTTTCATGAGAGCATCTAATTTTGCAGTTTCTCGCGCCGCGTCTCGTGAAATATCGGTGGGAAAGTTTAAAACAAAGTAGTATTACGATCCGCCTGCGAAATCCCGGCCGACAGTAAACTGAAAGTGGACAGGATATCACGGCCGCAACGTCGTGTGACGTGATTTTATATTTATCGTTAGAGGCGAGCACAGAGATATTGCTTTGCGCGCGTAATCCATACAGTTATTAACTCTTCGGCATTGTATGCGACGAACAATATGCGCTGGACAAGAATTACCCAAAATTGAAAATTACACTATTAGCCGAGCTGATAATAAAGATTTTTGTCTCCGTTATACACGCGACAGGCTGTAAAAAGATTTTTACAATGGACGTAGAATTTAGAGATATTAAAAATTAATTTTTAAGTTTAAAGAATGCTTTACAAATATGATACATTTAAAAAGGCAGCAGATACAAATAAACAAAAGCGGTTGGTTAAATACAAATTTGAGATATTATTTCATATATTTTATTAAATCGTACCTTTTTATGTCGATAAATTGAAATTATATGGTACAATAGTATTTCAATTACATTCGTTTCTACTAAATACTGAATATTGATCTTGCAAACGCGATATCCGACTTGATATATTTCGCTGAATCCGCGAATAATCTTATGTATGCGCGCTTTAAACGATTGCGCGCGTGTGTCAAGACACGAGTACCGTACCGTAGTGTTTTACGAGGCGCATAATTTTATTATCTCGCTGAACGCACAGAGAGAACGACGAGCGCGGACGAGATACCGTGCGGCAATCTAAGCTATTATGCTCGCTGCACATCGTCCCGCGGAAAACGCCGGCGAAAGAATTTTCCATTGTAATTCGGACGACGCAGCGCGATTACACCACAATAACGTCTCGCTAATTACACGTAATTGATATCCCAGAGAACGTACCGCTTATATTCTGCCTCCAGCCTTAATTCCAGGTTTACCACGAACGGAGTTCTCTTGTCCCTCGAATATTTGACAAGATATTTAAATTGCTGGCCGTAAGAGCGGAATTATCGGGACGATGATAAAGGGAGATTATTATTGCACACACGTGTGCTTAATAATTAGCACACGTTGCAGGTAATTAATGCCTTTGAAGTGGTTTTATACTGTCCAAGCGAGACAGGAGATTAAACCGAAAGACGTTCGTCGTGCGATACGGTCCACGTGATACCGGGCGCGTCGCGCTAATATCATTTGATTAAAATACTTGAAAGGACGAATCGGAATTCGGTCCGCGCTATGCTTAATACGCTCTTTTGCTCGTTTCCGTCCGGCTCTCTTCGCAAACACGTCCCGTTCTCTCTTTCGCCTGTGCGGATGTACATATATTTGCTGAATATCTTCGTCGATATTAAAATTGTTTTACATCGTGCCGCGAGCGTTTCGTTAACTAGGATGAAAATCGGCGTCAGCGAAAATACAACCGCGTAACTGGATTGTAATTACAATAAAATCCGCAACACCGCATTGCCGCCAGCGACACATTAAGCTAATATTAATTAACCCGCTCTTCGTTCATTGTGTCAAAAGCGGCGGAAATTTGCGCGCTGCAAAAATTTTGCCGACTACGAGGAAACAATCGCAATGAAAGAGGAAAAGTAACGTTACATTAGAGATTTATGCTGCAATTTAGGTGGTTCGTAAACTTATTGCGGGCGCGGCTAGTAACTGAAATAATGCTCTGCTTATAAATTGAAAAGAATAACGTCGCTTAATTCCCGGATTAACGATACACGCCGTTATTATGTCGGTAACACAAAGATCTAACGAGTTTTAACGATAAATCTATATCACTCCGTAATATAGGTATTTATAATGCATCTTGAAGAGAGAAGAGAGAGAGATAGGAAACTCAGCAAATATATTGGCTTTCCCTTAAATACGACGTGCAAAACTTGGGCGGTAAATCACTGCGTAGGGCGCACTTATTATAGAGCCAGCATATTCTTATTATCAGCCGACGAGAGCGGATTAATTGAGATTGCAACTGTATAACGAAACGATGAATATTATCGTTTGCTATAGAACCGCAACACCGATCGCTAAATCCGATTTTCACGATGGGATCGTTTTATATGAAAAATATGGAGTTATTAATTCTCCTCTATAGACGCGCGCGATGATGCGTAGTGGGCGAAAAGGCTTCGTTCAAATATTCCAGGTACTCTCGTACACACGAGAAACGTATGTTCGTCAAACTTGTATCGTCTACTGTAATACAAGTCTACCGTGTATATAACCCTAGTCGTAATACTCGGATAGATACTTCCGTTTATCTCCGTCAGCGAATCGTGCACGACAATGATAGGGCACGGGATGAGATAATAAAAAGCAGGAGTTTTGAGATCCTTGACGATGTCCCTCCCTGTGTCAGGCTTATTCGTAGATATACGCACTGACATATCGCTCGCTTAGATATATCAGTGCTTTAAACACCGGTCTACGTACCTGTGTTTATCTCCGCGCGCGTTGACAGGTGGGGCGCCGCCGCGCGTCTATTGATTGGTGCCCAGCTTCCCCACCAGTGTCTCATACCCTCACATCGATTTCCTCTCTCAGTCGCTCGTACAGCAACCTTGCTGCACCTCTCGCCCTTTGGCGTCGTTCTTCTCCTCTCCTGCATCTCCCCCTTCTCTCTCCTTCTTTCTCGCTATCCTCTTCCTTTCACTTCTCTCCCTTCTTCATCCCTTGTCTAGTCATCTCTCTTTTCCTCTCCTCTCATATATATATATCTCTCTCTCTTTTCATCGTTATTCTCGTTCTCTCGCGGTCTCTCCACAGCTGTCTGCCTTCCTATCATTTTCCCCCTTCGATCCTTCGTTTTTCTCCATGTCGACCAATAATTCGCTTCCTTTTTATTCTTATTTTCTCTCTTTCGTTTCTCGCCCGCATACTCGAGAACCGCGGAATCTCCACTATTTCCTCGCACACACACACATATATATATATATATATATATAGAGCCACTGCCACGGTATGTGCTTGGCTTATATATATCGCGCCTATGTATCTGCCGTAGCTGCAGGCGCGACGCCAAGTTGAGAAGAGAGGTAGCTACGCTTATGTACATCCACTGCGTAGCAAGGTAAATGGATGGTCTCTCATGTACGTAGGCGCCTACATATATATATATATATATATATATATATATATATATATATATATATATGCACTCTCCTTCTTTCTCACTCGTCTTCCGAACTCCGATGCTTTCATCTTCCCTTTTCCCGCAGCTCCTATCAAAGCCGCGGTCTCCAAGCCGATCGCGCCCTTTCCCTCCTACCATTTTTTGCACGCGCGCGCGTTCGAGATTTTTCCCGATGCGCGGCTTTTTCTCTCGCTGTTATTGTCAATTGAGCGATGCGTCGCGCTCGCACTGGTACTGGCAGACTTTCAGTATTTCCGTGACGGCAACTTCAATACTTAATAAGTATCGGAAAGTATGATGCTATATTTATATCAGCATTGCTCGTAAGACCGTGAATATGATATTGAAATGTCGACTGACAGTAGCTGTGGCACTCTATTATTCGCCGTGTCTGACTCGTGACAGACTGTGACCACTGAGCCAACGTTCAATTCAATTTGCGAGATTTAAAATCTCGCTCGTTTCTCCTAAGGAAAAATACATTTGCATACTTTCCCTCGAGCTTAAAGGCAACATCATTTTTAATATCCGTTGCACAAGCGCAGAAACAAAATTATATTAAGATATTGTCGTGTTGGTATGTATACGTAATTAACTGTCAAGCAACGATGGTTTATTTGAATCACTCAAATTATGATGAATTAGTGGCCATGGAAATTCCACTATGCACACATCCATTTTCATTGTATGTCACGCGAGTATTTTGCAATCCTTCACCCCGCGTTATCGCTGTATTGGCGGACTATGAAACTTCTCCCTCCACGTAATTAAAACATTTCGTTGTCGGCAGTTCTGAATTTCCTGCGTGATTCCAGTCACAACCGAAATTATATGGAGAAACTGCAATTGGAACGATACATACAAGTGACTATTCGAATAGTCCAAACAATGCGGAACTTGTGTACGACTTGCAACTATCACAATCGTTGCGCGATTGTATCACTCGACGGGCACGCTACGCCAACTTTGGCGTACTATAATCGCCTAATAGTCAGAAATTTACATAACTAGCTCGTGGTTTATCCTTGCGCAGAAACAGAACGATTCGCGTATGCGTATCGACGGTAATTTGCACGCGCGACTAATTATAAGTATCGGAAATTGTAGTCCAAGTCGTTCAATTTGCGCTCGCGTAATAGCACTCACGTTTTCCACTCGAGAGCAAAATTGAAATTATTTTATCAGCAACGAATTGAATATCGATCGACGCCGCACGCGGCGTCCAAGTTTTTTTTTTACCGCGACAGACAATATTCGTTGATGCGCATTGCGTGTCGCCGATCGAAAATTCGATTGCCAACCGTGTCTGACCTTTGACTGAAACCTTCTCTCGTCTCTCGCCGTCACAAACCATTAAAACTTCCTTTAACTTCTCTTTCTCACGCGATTAGAGTTCGCAACCTTGTAATTGAATATCGGGAACAATATAAACGGCCGAGTTGTGACAGAGAGACCGAACTCCGACGACCGCCGCCATTCTCGGAATCTTTAATCAATGTTCAAAGCAATTTTCTTTTCGCGAAAAAGATATTCGGTGCAGCGTCCTGTTAATCGAGCAAGAAATCAAAGTTATGGAGACTTTTAGCGATTTCACGATTTATCGATTTACCTGTGTGTACCGATTTTTAATGTAAATTTGTAGAATATATTTATTAATTATTTACAGGATAGCTTTTTCCGGAATAGTTTTCACAGAATAAAACAGTTAGAAATTCGAAACTTTGTTCAATTTTTCTCTGAAACATGGTATTCACTCTTGAAGATATTATACTTCAAACATTTAGTTAACTCAACGATCGAGTATATAAATAACTTTGCGTAATTTCAATTGCTTTTTAAAAACAATAAATTTTACAACATATTTATAATCAAATCAAGTGCAGTAAACTTTATTGCAGTACTTTTTATTGCAAGATAATTTGATTAATGTATCGACGAATTTTGCTTCGAACTTCGATTATTCAATCTATTGTTATCTACATTCTCTTATACTATCCTTATCGGTGCTACCACTGCTTGTAGCACCATGGGTTCTCATATTTACGATACGTTGAATCTCCGTGCCTCGATTTCAGCGCGTTTATCCCTAAATTATTTGACAAGGATAATACAGTATTTTCGCGATTATTCAGTAATCGCCATACGGGATCCCTTGTCCTTATCAGCTGTTATACAGAATAATAGTCTACGTGCACCACGACGGTTGCATCGATTCTCGAAATAAACGCAAATTTGCAGAGACTAGCCAATTTAAACTTGTCTCGGCACTAGGCTAATAAAAACTATATATATATATTGCTTTATATATTTATTTTCAAAAGGGAAAATCCTTCTTTCTTCACAGATGCGATCGTAAAAATAGCGACACCGCTAGTACCGGCTTAAACGCATTTGATAAAATGGCATCCTTTTTACAATATGCTTTGTTTCGAGATAAGTATGCGGTCGGGCAAGGACAAATCCGTGCGCTTGTTAGCTGCGCGTTTAAAGCAAAATAATAATGTCCATGGCCGTAATCCCTCGGCGTCCGTATGCGTAGAATACATCGCGTTGGGTCGAGTCCGCAAACGCGAGATGTTTCCGCAAAGTCACCCAGCCGTGCACTCTGCTCTCGGCAAACGCCTCGGCTAATCACGAATCAGCCTTCGCGACAAATCCAATTCAGCGACAATGACCTAACGAGGTAACTCGATTTACATCCATACCCGGATACCCTCCGAGGAGTCCGAAGGAGACGAGTGACAGCGGACGGGCCACAACGTCTTTCTCTGGTCCTCCGGTGAGAGTGATCCGATATTGTATCCTTTAAGATATTCCGGGGATTTAAATTAAGTTCTTATCCGCAGATATTGAATCCGCTTTATGTTAATACGGTACGCTTCCCGGCACCCCAACACAAGAGAACTCACCAAGAAGAAAAAGAGAGAGAGAGAGAGAGAGAGAGAGAGAGAAAGGGGGAGGAAGAAAGAGAGATGAGAGAGGTTGAATAATTTCCGAAAGCTCCTCTCTCGAGTGGGCGACTGGTGGAGAAGTAAGAAGAGCGTGGTCTTGATTCGCTTCTTTCCCGCTTTTGGTGGAAAGAAGTTCGAGAATCGATTGCTCGTTCGTTCGCGCTATTTCTGCCGTAGATCTCGACCGTAGAGCACGACCTCAGCGCGAGCGGAAACTTTTTCGAGCCCGCGATGAAACGGCAGCACCGATTGTTTAATACGAAACTTTGCAATATTGACTTTAATTAGCACGAGTAGGTTAATGTACACGGTACTCTTAACGATAAAAAAATTGAAGAAAATTAATGGAAATACCTGGTAATGTGAATGGGACGTGGAAAAACGAGTTTAACATGATGAGAGTGGACTATGAGTTTTTATGCTGATTGGTTGTATATTGTAATATAACATGAATCGCGGAAACGAGCTCTAGGGCAATTTAAAATATTACCGTTTGCAAATATATTTCTATGGTACTCTGGAAACGGAAGGTTTCAAATTATTATATTATTCACTTCGCGAGGGAACGACGAGTCATCGAATCCACTTCGCGGATGCTAATTCAGCTCTTAATTTCAATCGACCATAACGCTCACGAAGGGCAAAATGGAAGTCGTTGCCGCTCTGAACGTGGTAAACATTTTAATTACCGTCTATCTCCCGTAATTATCCGATTCGCCTCCACTTCTCTCTCTCTCTTTCTATTTCTCTCACGTCATATAAAGCGCATAGTAAAGATCCTTCATATTTCCATTTGCTCTATTTGCAATGGAATAAACTGAATAAAAGATTAAGTTTTTTCGCTCTCACAGTGTCACGCATTAGTACGAAAATTCTTATATCTACATACCACCAGTCACCAGTTCGCTTCCCCTTCAATAATGTAAAAAATTGCAAGATTCCTCTTTGTCTGATTATGATATAGTTCAAGAAGCCTTTATGCATTTATGATCGATGTGATGCAACAAATGTGACCATGAATCGCGAAAAGAAATTCCGGCACATTTCTCGACACGACCGATTATGACTGCGTCATGATAACAATATATATATACGTATATATAAAATGCATTGAGAAAGCTATCTTATCAAAATTATATGGGACATGTAATATAGTTGAATGTTTTATTCTTTCTATAATATTTGCATTCTTAAAATAGATATTTTTTGACAAACATTAAATTGGAATTTTAATAACAATTAAAATTGAAAAATGTAAATAAAATATAAGATATCACATGTGTGTATGTGTTTGTGCTTTTTCAAAGTATACTTTGTTATTATTTAAATTGTGTGAGTTTAGTAGGAAAAACACGTGTCTTAAATTTTTATGTCAGTGTATGATTTGCATCGAAACAAGACAAATAGATTTCGTTACTACCCTTGTCTCGTCCGTCAGGTGGTTAGGCCGGATCAAAATCGCGTGTATCTTCGCGCACTCCGGTACCGTATAATTTCCTGTTTGTTGTTTGTCGACAGCATCGG